GGTGTGTAGCATGTTCGTAAGATAAAAGCCGGACGGGCCCGTGTGCGCAAGCGCACACTGCCTGTTCGGCATTGCGGTCATCGGAAGCCCGCCCCTCAGGGGGCGTGGCTTGCGATCATCGCAAGTACGATCTGCCTATGCAAGATAGGCAGATCGTACGTTTTTTAAAGTACCTTACAACCATCTCCATACAAAAGTCTGGCGATGGTTGTAAGGTGTGTGCCCAGCCTTAGGCATGACTCCCAGAGACAGATGTATCATGGGATTTGTAGCTTCACCTCAGCTGGAGGTCATTTGCCCACCCTTGCTTTAAAGTGACATTAAACCCTCAGATTTTTTAACATAAACCAATACTGTAATGTGTGCCTTACTGTAATCCATGGTAGTTTCCCTTCTCTTTGCTGCTCTTCCTTTTAAATCTGTATCTCTTCTCATGCTGGGCAGAACTTCTGTTTTGCAGCAGACTGCCTTGTCTCTGAAATGGATACATGGGGGGTGATTTACTAACCTAAACACACGCACACACACACAGCAAAACGTATTTATCAACCAAAAAGTCTCTAAAAGCATATTTCCACTAATGCCATATATGGAAAAATCATGCACATGATGCATATATAATGCTGCTTCACAGTTTAGACAAAAATGGTTAGCTCATGCATTTACATTCCTGCATTCATCAACGCAAGCAACACAACATAGAGCTAATTTACACAACATCACCTTGCAATTCATGCTTGGCTTTGCACAACACACCTGCTGGGTGTGTACACACTACAAAGGTGTTTAGATTCCACCCATAGATCATGCTGGGAGGGAACACACTACAGAGGTGTATACATGTTCGTGGTGTGTTTATAAGGTTAGTAAATCAACCCCATGGTGTCTGTGTGTAAGTTTGCAACCTGAGCTTCACTACAGGAAGAGGCACTCGGCTGCAAAAGGAAGTTCTCCCCCAGCATGAGAAGACATGAGGATTTAAAAGGAAGAGCAGCAAAGAGAAGGGAAACTACCATGGATTACAGTAAGGCACACATTACAGTATTGGTTTATGTTAAAAAATCTGAGGGTTTAATGTCACTTTAAGGGCTTCCCAATCATGTGATCACTGTGTTTGGGTGTCATGGTGGTCACATGATTGGGAGGCCGGTCCCACCAGGCCATGATCACAAATGGAGTCCAGGGGCTGTCGGTGACTGCTCAGTCACTGTGCTGGGAGGACGCCGGTTAGCACACTCTCAGAACAGCAGAACCAGATGACACATATATGTGGCACCTCATTGTTACGGCCCATCTAGTAACTTCTTTTCATATAAATTATCTGCAGTCTGCGTAACGGGGATGTGAAAGAGCCGTGTGCTTTAAGTAAAAACTGTGTGCTATAATGTGACCCTCTATCACATTTCTGAGCGTTAGGAGGTATGTATGACTCTATGAGTTGAATTTATACTCACCCCATCCTCTGAGCCGGCCAGCTGTCACAGCACTCCCTCCAGCCTGTCATCTCCTCCACTGCAACAATGGTACATCCCTCCGGTGTGCTCACATCCTATACACCGTATAGAACATGATGACTCAGGAACCTTAGACCACTGCAGCAGAGGGGGAGGGAGGCTAGAAGGACCAGTCTAACAACAAGCCAAAATGAGCAGTTAGCCCTTGCAGTGTACGGATAGCCCCACTGAAAGATTAATACAAATTTTACCAAGAGTTCTGCATTAGAAATGAAAAATACAAGCTGATTGGTTACCAAAGGTGACTGCTCCAGTTTTGATAAACACCACTCTATGACTTTGTTATTTTCCTCCCCTAACCCTTGCAGTGTGGGGGTAGCCCAACTGCAAGGGTTAATAAAAAATGTTGCCTGCAGTTTTTTAAATATCACAGCTATAGGCTTTGGGTTTAGTTTGGTAGAGAACGGCCAGCAGCAGAAAAGTGCGTGACCACAACCAGATAGAATAGGCTGAACTGTAGAAACATAAAACAAAAACAGTTTACTACTACACTAGAAATTCAAATTTACACATTTAATAAAAAAAAATGATCAGCAGCAGAGCAGTTTTATGAGCAGGGTGAAGAGTGCTCAGACACTAGATGCTTTGCCTTACCTGAAATTCAAGTGAATGGGATCCCTTTCTATTCCTACTTGGTATAGACACCAAACCCGGGTTCCCCAAACATCATATATTAATGATATTTTATAATGTATTTTACACAGGAAAGGAAATTCTACTGAAATGGAAACTCCCTATCCCCATTCGTCAGTGAATGGTATTCGCTATAAACAAAAAAATGCTAGCACTCTACAAACGATCCTATCCGAGAAAGGGCTTCCCAGCCAAATTTGAACAAAATGACCTGCCTAATAATTGTGCACCCAGTGTATATAGAGGAACACATACATATACTATTGATGTAAAGAAAGAGAAATTCCAGCGTTTGAAGAAAACAAAATCATAAATGCACACTTCTTCATAAAAGAAGCATTGCAACCGTGATCAGGTGCAGTGCTCTGGTTCCTGCAGACTCTTCCACCCTTTCATGTCTGTGGTGCAGACATTGACTGCCATGGACGGGAGGAAGTGTCAATGGACTACAAGTGTAAAAGTAGCTGTGAATGGATGACGCAGCTGTGCGGGGAGAAGAACCCCCCCAATTCAGGTAAGTGGAGGAGATTTGCAGCCTGACCATGTTTCACGTCATACCCGAATATGGGCGTGACATGAAACATGGTCAAAAAATTAAAAACAGCCTTTAAGGTAATGAGAAATCCTAAAAAAAAAGTGTAGACTCCTTTTTCCATTAATTCCTTGTCTGGAAAATTGCAGCGTTCCACCTCGAGGTTTTACTCCCTCTAGGGGACTTGTTGTAAAGTGCTAAATATCTTTTATATAGCTCATGATCTGAAAATAATGATGTGTTGTTTTTATTCACACACAATATACATGTTTTATTGTTAAGTTTTCTGTTTTTTGTACCCTGATAAAGAAGGATTTTTGCCCCCCCCCAACGTGTTGCCTACTTCTTGTTTCCGGTTGAAACTTTTTCTATTTCTGGAATCTACGATTTCTCTTTCATCTCAATTAAAGGAGAACTATGGGGTCAGTGCTTTTCCCCATAGTTCTCCTAAGGGTAATGGGAGGACACAAACTAGCGTCCTCCCCTATACTGAGACGCCGCAGCTGGAACGGATCCCGACATTACTGTCTGGCTCCACCCAGCTGCGTGAGTGACAGCTGGCTCTGCCTATCCAGAGGAAGAGCCAGCTGTACCCGCCCCCGTCCGTTCCGCCAGTCAGCACTGGAGGATCGGACAGGGGAGGGGGGGGGAATCCCTGCAGGGAGCCGTGAGTGACAGTGACGGCTCTCTGCAGGCTCAGGATCGAGAAGTGAGCGAGTGACGGTATGTGTTCGCTCTCTTCCCGATCTATTGAACCGACCTATGACAGTTTCATTGTCACACGTCGGCTCGAACTATGAGGCTGAGTGTTTTTCACTCGCCTCATAGTTCTCCTTTAAGGAAACAGTGTTTCAAGGGGGATCCCCCTTTTTGTGGAGAGCTGTCAAGCGTAAGCCATTTGGACAGACTGAGGAGTTTTTTCTCTTTGGACTTAAGATATGTATCCAGTGCCCCACCTCCACTTCCCCTAGTGTCAATGCTATTGGTTGACTGCAGCATATGGGTCCTCTTTTTTTAAGTCATAGTAAACCCTTAACAAGGTTTGTGTCAATGTAATGCATATGTTTATTCATTATTTAGTTGTTTGCTTTGTTTTGGAGTAAAATCTTCAAGAAGTTGTGCAAGCAACATATGGCAGCTTCCCAGACTTCTCACCTATATAAATACCTGTAATAATAATAACAAAGGAGGAGCTATGGCCACTGGTGATAGAACTGCCCAATCTTCCCTCTGAAGGAGACCGGCATACTAATTACCCTGGTAAGTGGTGTCATTTTATTGTAGGAAGGTGGAGCAATATCATCATTCCTATGTCATTTTCATTTTAAATGTTATTCTATTGTCACATTACATGCACCTCATGGACTCACCCACAAAGAAGGCAATGAGTCATCCTCCCTTTCTGATGGCACTTAAAGGTTATTTTATATTGTGTCATGTGCAGCTTTAAACTGATGTTTGCAGTTATTTTGTGTCCCATTTTATCTCTAGATTTGCCTGCAGACCTATAGCTGGTTTTATATTCTTATATAGACAATCTAAAAGGTCTCACCACCCGAAACTGTGTGTTAATGGTTTGTAACTGAGCATGCAGCATCCAGGAATAGCAAGTCCTTACTATACCATGAGTTTTAGAATTATGCGTTGGAGTTTTATCTGTCTTAGACGTCCAGAGGCAGGATTTCAGAATCTATCAAGTCTGTCTATCTGCACTCTATTTTACAATACAGAAAAAGTATAGTAGAAGGAGGCTAAGCTCCCCATTCTTGACCTAGTAAGTGATTTATTTGAGTTGAAGGAGTGCTTTAGGAAGTTCAATATTTTGTATTCAAGAAATGGGGGTATAATAATTACTATTATTATACAGGATTTATATAGCACATACAGTTTGCGCAGCGCTTTAAAATACAAGTTAGACTTTGCAGTTAAAATACAAATCAGGACAAAATGGTGAGGAGGGCCCTGCTTGTGAGAGCTTACACACTGAGATGATAAATGAAAATTCAAAATGACATCTAACTGTGCATCTTTTACTAATCTCTGTCAGATATACACTGAGTGGCCAGATTATTATGACCACCCCATCAGTACTTTGTTGGGCCACGAGATGACTTTGTTGGGCCGCCTTGTGACTCCACGAGATGTTGAAAGGTGATGCGAGGAATCTGGCACTGCACTGTTGCCCTTTTGTTGTCTTGTACCAGTCTTGCCACTCTCTGTTCTGCCCTAACATTGAATAGTCGCTGACGGCCACGTTCAGACCCAGATTTTCGGCTGACAGTCCAGTCTTTAAACACTTTAACAACAGCTGCTCTTGAACATTTAACAAATTCTGCTGTTTTGCTGATCCTCGCTCCATGGCTTGAGCGCCAACAATCATCCCACGTTCAAAGGCTGTTAAATCGCATTGTTTGTGCTCCCTTTTACTAGCTCTTGCTCAATCAGTCCCGCCCTTGTATGTTACTAGATGGAATTAGAGTTAAGGGGGGTTGTGACGAATGGAGACTGGACTCAAATTTGGATCTCTACTTCTAAAAGTGGCCATACCCCTTACAACCATCGCAAGACTTTTGTCTTGTGATGGTTGTAAGCTAATTAAAAGCTTGTACGATCTGCCCATCTTGGACAGGCAGATCGTACTTGCGATCATCAAAGGCCTGCCCCGCTGAGGGGCGGGCCTCCGATGACTACAATGCTGAACGGGCAGTGTGCGCTTGCGCACACGGGCCCGTTCGGCATTTGTCTCCCGAGCATGCCACAAACCCGCCGACAATCGTACGATTCTCGGCGGGTTTTTCAAACATGCTCGTTAGACAAAAGTTGTGCGACCTTACAGTAGCAGAGGTCGCACGCCTTCCATACACCTGCCGATTATCGTACGATCGCTGGATTTCCCGCAATTATCGTACGATAATCGGCAGGTGTATGGGCACCTTAAGAGTTCCAGCTCTGTGTCGGTACTTGAAACCTAAGTTGCTCATGCAATTGTGTATGGTCCCACAGCTGATCTGTAAGGCCTCCCTCATGTTTTAGGGGCTGCCATAGAGAAGACACTTTTGTTCATATACGGTGGAACTGTGTGGTTGGGATTCATTTCTGGTCCAAGATCTATAGAAAAGCCTGCATGGCGTTTGGTTTTACGCCTCGTAAAAGCGCCTTATATTTCCATAGTTGCCGATACCAATTACCAATACTTATTCTTAAAAGGACATGTGACATTTTTTCAAAAACAAGACAAATACACACTAAAGATTTTAGGGCAGTTTCTCTATAATTATGAAGAACGGTTACTCATTTCATGATTATTCAGCAATGGCAACCGGCTATAGAGGACTAAAAATCTCAGCAATGGAGAATAGCAATCATGGATCTATAGCCGGTTGCCATTCTCTATTGCTGTATAATCACCAGGTCATCTATATACTACACAAACACAGCAACTCAAGCTACTTCCCTCCTCCTGGCCCCCTCTCCTCCAAGTTAGTAAATTAACAGTTGCTAGAGTATGCACTGTCCTTATAGATCATGTACTTGACAGGAAGTTCAGGGAAGCTGAGCTCAGACACTTGGAAGGAGCTGTTCCAAAACATCATGATTGTACGTGTTTGGGCAAAAATATAAAGCGATGCTTTGCTGATTTAACAATAATCCGTGCTAAGGGAACAGATCTTAAATCAAAAAGATGGATAAAACTAATACTAAGCTGCTATGTAAAAAGAGCCAGAGGCCACGGTAATTCTTAATTAAAACAACACAGCGCTGAATAAACCTAGAAAAACTAAAGTGAATAAAAGATCCCAGAAAAATGCTTTGCTGGGCAATGTATATTTGATTGATCTTGATTTATTATTGAAAAAAAGTTTGAGAGTTTAATATTACTTTGAACAAAGAAGCAGATCACCAGCACTCCGCAATAAAGATGACTGTCCTTTTTTATTGGACAAAGACGTCACAGTGATCAGAAAAGCCGACGTTTCGGGACCGCGCAGGGAAGGGACCTCTGCTTCTTTGTTCTGTGTTTGCACGGCGCCATCCGTGGTTATCACTACGAGCACCATCTTTCCTGTTGGCCGGGACTGCTGCGAGGTGTGCGGAGGGCTCCCCCATCGATTTAATATTACTTTAACGCACAAAAACAACCATAGAAACATACCAAAGAAAAGAATGAGTGAAAAACATGGTATACTATTCTACCTGCAGTCACTCTCTCGTCTTCAAAAAAATGGCCTTACGTAGACAGGCTTAGTGATCTGTTAGTATGCCACCTTTGAGTACTGGCTAGGAGACAGGCCTGTATAGAGCAATACTTCTACAAAAAGGAAACAAATATGAGAAAGTATGTGCAATGTAATAACACACAATCCTGAGAGGTTTCTAGTTTAATATTCCAGTTTTCACACTTGCTGGATCACTGATCACAAGTATTGTACATAAGCCAGGAGTCCTGACAACACCAGTTTCATGCTGGTTCTGTGAAAGTGGATAGCTGTACAACAGTTAAAAGAGAACTATGGGGTAAGTGTTTTTCCCCATAGTTCTCTTAAGGGTCACGGGAGGACATACACTAGGGTGACCCAAAGCTCAGTATATCGCGAGCTACAGCTCGCGGTATACTGAGACCATTGCAGCTGGGACAGATCCCGACAATGCTGTTGAGATCTACCCAGCTGCATGAATGACAGCTGGCTCTGCCTATCTAGAGGCAGAGCCAGCTGTACCCGCCCCCTCCCCCGTCCGTTCCGCCAGTCAGCGCTGGAGGATCGGAGCGGGGAGGAGGGGAATCCCTGTGGCTGACAAGTCACCCCTCTCTGCAGGGAGATGATCGAGAAGTGAGCAGGCAACACTATGCGTTCGCTCACTACCCGATCTATTGAGCCAACCTGTGAAAGTTTTACATGTCGGCTCGAACTATGAAGAGGATTGATTTTCACTCACCTCATAGTTCTCCTTTAAATCCTCAGCAGGAAAACCAAGGATCTATATCTTTGGTAGGTTGGCAATTCCAGTGCACTTTTCTGTCCTGAAAGGTTGTCTTTTAATAATATGCCTTAAAATAGGCTGTAGACAAGTATACAAATCATAGAAATGTAAGCATTGTTTAATTTTCGGCAGTTTAAAATCATCTACAAATAACAATAAAAAAAAACCCCAACATCTTTTTGTTCTTTATTTCTCCTTGAGAAACATTGCTTACAGCAATACAAAAGAGCATTAAAATGGGTAATTAGTACAGCAAAAGGGCAATGACTTGCTGGTATGCGAGTGTAAAAAGAGCCACGAGGGAATGAATTATAACTGTAAAATTGCTTCTGCCCAGACGTCTAAACGTCACAGGAAAGAACACAGTCAACTGGCCGAGTATGAAGAAAAACATGCAAGTTAGTAAGCCATTATTGCTAGGGACCCAAACAAAACCAAGTATCTTGTTGATAACACCAGTATGGGCTGCTACAAATAGAGATGGAATGAGCAGGTAAATAAAAGTGTAGCTTGAAGAAAAATCTGCCCTAGTCAATTTAAGCTAAGGGTTTCACTTGTTATCGCACTAAAACAAAATGTAAAACGGTTAATCTGCACCACTAGCAATCAAATTAAAATCCGGTAAAATAAAAAAAATAAAAAACACCACTACAAATGTTTAAGGAGAGTTTTAGACCAGTGCTGGAGAGAGTTAGGGCAAGCTTAGAAATGACACTCTTGATTCAGCAGAAATAATTATCCCTCTGTCCATTTGACAAAAATATTTAGGATAAACCAAAATATGTAGCTTGCCAGAACAAGCTGAAAATATGACATCCACAATGAAAAGGACAGTGGAGAAATGGAAGGGGAGCGTGTATTGTATTTTGTTGTGCCCTTGTTCCTCCACATGAAAATCTCAACCCTATCCTGGACCTACCAGCCTCCATCTTAACCTCTACTAGGTGTCAGCCCTTCAAAAGTTGTAAACATTCATACCCAAGAAGGTGGAGGCATGGCCCAATATGTGAACTAAAAGTGGCTTGCAGCAGGTCTTTCAGTAAAATTAACACAGGAATACCACTCCAACAATCCATTCTAATTCAAGGGCTCTTTAAAACAAAAACAAAGCAACCTTTTTTCCAGGGACTTTAAATCAACAAATATCGTCAATAGAAAGATGTCTATTGTAATGTACTGTACTGTAAATAAGATATAAAATGCATAGATGTATTTAAATCAACTTTAGCAGTCCCACAGCAGGCTCTTTACTCCAAACAAAATATATGCACCATTGGCAACTAACTGCCATCTGAAGGCTAATCATAGAAAAGTCCAGACCTTGGGGCTTCAATGCCCCCAACAGAATAGAATTGGATTGGATAGTACTTTGCATAATCCATTCCAGTGCAAAATTTCCACAGCACTCCCACTTGCCTGCTGGGTCTGGACAAGGCACAGCCAGCTAGGATTAGGAGTTACTTAGCAGGTGCATCATTGCTGGGTGAGCTCCGTCAGGCTGTCACATTCACATCCCTGAGAGAGGAAGAGCCTTGTGTACAGAGCTCAGTAGACAGCGCAGGCAAGGAAGAGTCTGGCTGCATCACAGAACCTCCCTGAGCCAGGATCTGCTGGATGGTTTTACGTAGATTCGGATGTAATCGTCCATGAGTCTGACAGAAGATTTCCAGGGCACAAGATTTCAGTGGTCCAGCGCTAAGATCTTCATAAAGTGGGATAGTGTACATCCTGGATGTCTACAATCAAACAAAAGAAGTTGAATGAATAACAAACTAGTCGCCGGGAGTCTGTTTAAACAGCCCCGATGCTGGCGACGTACACTGTACGTCGTCAGTCGCGAAGGGGTTAACAAAACCAAAAATCAATATATGTCAAACAAAAAAGTACACATTCTTAAAGTGACACTACACTCAGGAGTTAAATCTTGAAAATGCATTCAAGTACCTTCAATTTATTAACAAAAATGTATCTTATTTGTGTATCACTTGGCTGTAGATCCTCAAATCATCTCTGAATTGGTGCTGACACTGTCCTTCCTTCTGGAGGCTGACTATTTTTGTTCCCCATAGTCTCTGTGTGTGTAGTAAAGTAGCCACCGCTCCAAGCTCACTCCTGTGATGGACTACAATCTCAATACAAATGAGTAAACTAAACATGAGATTGTAGCCCATTACAGGAGTGAGATGCATTTTTGTTAATAGTTAAAGCGGACCTTTACACTCAATGAAATTCTACCAATGCTTCCCCTTATATATGATTAATAATAACATAGACATGTCAGGTGTAAAATGCTCTGATTATGAAATACTTAGACTTGCAGAGCATTCACTTTCTGCTTTGAAAGGGCAAAATGACTTCAGTTTGGCAAAGCAATGCACACTGGGATTGTCTTGTCATCAGCAGAGCATTGCTGGGAAATCTCATCTGTAATCTCAGGAAGAGGCATTTTCCTCCCCTGAGATGATGTGCATGGTCACATGTTCTATGGGCATATGGCAGCAGTTCAGGAAGTGAAAGGAGAGCTAGTAATCTGCCCTTATTAAACATGGCCACTGTCAGAAGACTGGGGAAGAAAAGAGAAATAAGGAATGCAAAGAATACAAAGCCGGCAATTATCTAGAAGTATGTGTTTGTAGATTGTCATTACTAAACATTTCTAAAGGTGTGTTTGTTATTTTAAAGATATGGGTAAAGGTCCGCTTTAAAAAGGTACTTACATGTATTTTTAGGATTTATCTCCCGAGTTTAGGGTCGCCTTAAGCAATTATGCACAGTGCCAATTTGATATGCTGTACTTATTTTTCCATACACAGGGCAACTACTAGTAGATCAGTTGTAAAACAGTCTAATCTCTAGTCTAAGCTTATAACACCACTTGGTTTTTACCTAATTAATTATACTACTTTAAAAAGGGAACTATTAGCAGGTATGAAGTGCACTTAACCTTTGAAAACAAAGTCCATTCAAAACTGTCATTAGCTGGAAATCATGGGGCAAAGTTGGTCATACAGCTGGTGGCCAAGCCCAACACCTTGTAGTACACAAAGGTCCCCACTACAAGGTTACATTTAGTTACAGTAACCCAGAGTTTAGCTTTAACTCTTAAATTAAAAAGCGCAGCCTTGACCCCTTGCAGCCTTTGAGTGTTCTTGACATAAGCTTACTGCACACACAAGACAAACATGTTTCAGGTCACATTAAATACTTTATAAAGCTTTTAATTACTTGGCAGAGTAGGAAGTGGCGCACTCTGGGCAAGTCTGGCTGGAAGTTATTTCGCACCACAATTTGTAACCAGCGGATCCGGATTTCTGTATTCATAGTAGCCAGGTCAGAAGAATAGCACAGAGACAGCTGGAGCATTACCTCTAAGAGAAAGAAAATAAAGAAGGCTCAGGTGCAACATAAAACATGCCTGGATATTGATTTCAAACCCAGTATGACAATCAACACACAAATGGTCTACCAGTATCTTTCCTCAAAAAAACTTTACTCAAATAGAGCTACCGGGGACACTTACAGGAAAGACAGCCTGCTGGGGAAATGTACACAAACGTGCGTCTACTATTGCTGCAGGGAGTTTGTTTACATCCTGTTTCTTGCCAAGTTGTATTAACTCCTAACCTTGACTAGAAACTGTTTACTATTGGCAACAGCTCTATAGCGGTTACTAGCAACCCTACAGTTTTACAAACAGAGCTGTCTCTGCCTCCACACCGCTCTCCTGAACTGTCATAACCAAGCAGGGCGGTGCAGGAGAAGAGCCTCTTGTGACACTCCGGTCGCTCACAGCGATTTCCTCCCCGCACCGCTCAGCCTCCTGTGACAGTTTCTCTCCTCACTGCTGGACGCTGCGCTGTGTCAGAGGGGACAAAGAACAGCACCCAGCGGGCAGGAGAGAAACCAGGGATGCACCGCAATTTTGGCCAAAAGATGGCACTTTCTGCATTTTGCCAAAAGTGCCATTTTTGGCCGTTGTTTCGGCAGCTGAAGTTTCTGTGCATCCCTAATAATATAAATAAATATTTGTTTTATATAGACAATGCTAACTCTTCGGGTAAATTGCACTGTTAAAATATGTGGTGATACTATATATACCTTATATTAGATAACAGTTGAGAAAAGACAGTCATTTTAGCATGGCAGCAGCATAAATACAGCCAATATAAACTTGAACGCTACTTGTAAACTAACTGCAACACAGCATGCAGTTACCTGGTCGCAGTGGAGATTGATCTAACAGCTTGTCCAAAAAGAGAACAGTCTGGAAAGTTCGCCATTTTGCAATATTGACAAAGGTGACAGCGGCTTCAATATCCAGAGGTTCAGCCATCCACAGCCGATTCAATTCTTCAACTGATGAAGTGAACACAGATCCCTGAGAAAGATCTGGCTGGGTCAAAGGAGGCCCTGGAGCATTAAGCCAGCGTTCGAAATCCAGGCCTGATATTGGTGAAAACGTATTATGAACACACATTTTATGTATAAGAAGTATATGCTTTAACTATTACTCTGCTTACCTTCACTACATAATTGGCTCTCATCCCTTAAATGAGGGAAAAAGCTGAGATAAGACTCCAGCAGATCATTTGCTACAACACTGCGGAACTTAAACTTCTCAATGTAATCCTGTAAGAAAGAGTGGAAATTATTTGCTAGAAAACACAAAAACTAAGTCAATTATAAAACACAAAAGTATTTTAGAGTGAAACTAGCAAAAGTGTGTCAGTTCGTTAAAAGGGCATGGTGAAAATTCTATTAGTCTATTAAGGGACACAGAAATTTATACTTTGGGTTATACTGCCACCTACAGGAGGATTTGGACAATGGCAAACAAAAACAAATCCATAGGCCAGCCTAGATAACCCCTCCTCTACACAGCATGCCTCTGCTTGTAGCAACTAGTACCAAGAGACCCCAGCACAGAGCGGTGGGACCCATGTCCTTTAAGAAACTCCAAGAAGTTTTTTTAAATCCTATTTTCTTTTGAGAGACACAGGAATTTTGATACTGTCAGGACCTCAAAAGCAATATAACTGAGGAATGGGCAACCATTAACAAGCCAACAGGCCCAACTAAATAAAACTGGGGATTGCTTGCAGCCCAAGAATCACCTGAAGGATCAGCACCCAAAACTGACACCAAATGAAGCTGACCCCGCTGCCTGATAGGGGAACCTGATGGAGGACATGGAGAATCAGACTGTTGAACAAGAAAGAAGGGTAACCGGGGAGAAATAACTCAACAGGAAGCACCGGCCTATAGACCAAACAAGAAGTTAGACCAACTAAACCACCAATCTGTAAAGGAAATTAACCAACATGCTTAACAAGGAAAGTGTCCCTGGAAGATAAAAGGTACCAGACAAGGAACCTGGGAACAACTCCTGGTAGGACAAGACCAGGCAGTCTATAGGGAAGGCCCCAAACCCCTACACCTGATTCCATATAAAGGAAGAAACAAAAACTCCATACCTGGTGACAGTCAGATAATCAGGTGAATGGGAAACACTCAAACAACAGCAGGCAGAAAGGACGGTTAGAACTTAACCATAAGTTGGTGAGATGGGCTACAACCCTAGGGAGTTGAAAATGAAACTAGACAAACCCAACATTCACACAAAACACCTCTTGGGCAAGCTCTAACAGGGATCATGCACAAAGGACAGGAGTCTTATGACAGTCAACAATATTCATCCGATTGAGTCTAGAGAGGGTAACAGTGCCAAAAGGGCCACATTCATTAATCTGCAGGTCAGCAAAAGGGGGGGGGGCCCAACCCCAGGTGGACATAAAGGAGGATACCTGCGGCAGGAGACAAATGGCTGAAGAAGACATTGGGCTCTCCTTCGATGTTTCTGACCTGCAAGATGGAGTTGGAGATGCACCAAGGTGCGTAACCTTCACCTCCATGTCCAGAAGCTATCAGTTGGTAAGAGTTGGTTAACCAGAGTTGGTCCACAACCAGAACCAGGCTACCTCTTGTAATGTAAGAGGGACTCCCATACCTTCTAGAATGTGAAGACACAGCAGTATCTAAATTATGTCCCACAGTGTCTAAGTCAGGAGACCAACCCAGAGTTAAATACCCTGATGTAGCAGGAACCACCCTATTCTGTGATGCCAGAATGTAGCCCCAGGGAGAACTCTCCAATGATAGGAGCCCCTGGAGATGGGGAGGCAAGTTCGAAGCAGCCACCAGATGAGTAGGCAGAGTCATCCTGCAAGGAACTACCTGGTCCTCAGAGACAGATACTTGGTCTGTACAGGAACAAGACTTGCAACAACAACTGGGAAGGGGCTAAACTAGACTAAGGATTGGAAGGACATCTAAAAAGAAGACCTTCCAACCCCAGAGGCTTTTATAAGGGAGGACAGATGGGTAACTCCCTGCCTATTGCAAGGAGCCAGGATTCAAACATGCTTAGTGGAATCCATGTGTTACTTTCAGAAGAACAGCAGCAGGTAATACTGCAATGACGTTTGCTTAAATTCTTGCAATCTACATAACTGACAATAGTGATGATTGATTTTTTTTTTCTCTCATTACGTTTCACTTTAACACTCATCCTCAATGGTAATGTCACTTACATTGAACCAATTACATGCACATTTATCTATATAAATGAAAAAAAAAATACTGTTTCCTTTAAAGATTAGCGTTACCCTGAGGAAGGCATCAAAGTTGTCCTGGTCTCCACATAACTGGGATAAATAGTGCACAAAGCAAAAGCCCTTCTCATAGGTGAATAAGTTCATGAGGTTACTAGGGTTCACACCTAAGGACAGATACAAAAAAAAAAAAAAAAAAAGGAGGATATAATTTTTAGTTTTCTTCTTTTTTTCTAAACTCTTTTTATTACAAAGAAAATATACAGTTCTATCCAAACAAATATGATAAATCAAGAAAAACAGTACACAAGAAAGTTAAAGTGTAAGGGAACTACTCCACTAATTACCCAACAGTTAGAAAGCACTTATATATTCAAATACATCTGTAGTACTAAGACACAAATTGTATAAAACTAGGAGGAAGACAATATATGATAACAAAAACGCAAATGTTCCCCAGAAGGGGATCCCACCATGGTTACAAAGTGTAAAACAGAATTATCGTAAAAGATGAATTTATTTCTAAATATATTAAAAATCCATACGTATCAAAAAAACAAAACAAACATATAAACATCACATTTATGTCTGCTCTAGGCTAGTATCATAGAAAGTGCAAGTGGATATAAACATACATTTATATTTGTAAGAAAGATATAAGGTGCGCCCTTGGATGCTTGTATACCTTTTCACCGTGGTGTTAAATATCAGTAGGGTATCTGTGAACTCTAAATCTCAGAGTTGGAAAAAGAGAATGTCAGTCTCCTGGATCAAAAATGAGCATGCACGCGTAGGAAAAAAATGTTGAAGAACTCATGTGTATGCTAATTTTTGATCTAGGAGACTGACAAAGACATTTTATGTAATCTCATTGGAGATAAATATGCCTGGTGTATAATACAGAGTTGTATCATTCTATTATTGATGGTTGAAGAGACACTCAAGAGAAGAACAGATGTCTTCCCAGTCATCTTACGACAAATCACTAAAACTTTGCGACCATTGCGATCAAGCTAAAACAGGCGATCTCCCAATCCTAATGTGTAATAAATGAAAATATAGAATAGAGATCAAGCCTTTTGGACCTTGTGATTTGAAAATACCAATAACATGGTAGCTAGACATACAAAGCTGAGTAGAGCCAAATTGTGCTTTAAAGGCATGGGAAAATTGAAGGTATCTATAGAAAGACACCCTGGGCAGTGCAAAACTATGTTGTAGCTGATTGAATAAACAGAAATCATAATCCGTGAGCAAATCAGATAAAACATTGATTTATACGTTGCCAATATACTACATTCACTAGTTTGCAAAGTTCAGGAAACATCACATTATATAGTGAGCTCACTCGGGGTATCCGTGTATGATAATAACGTCTTAGCTCTCTGCCACACACTTCTAGCCAGGGTAATAAGTTTTATTTTTTTGCAAATATTAAAAAATAAATGATGTGAACCTGAAACAAGTTCACTGTGCAGTTCAATGATTGCCTTGGCCCCCCTCCCCAAGTGCTTTTACATTGCCTTCACTCACTGATCTATTATCCCGGGAAAGTAAAGTGACATTGTTGGTAGTTCCAGGCATAGGCAGCATGGGACCTATTCTTATTCCCACATGATAGCTCTGATGTTTGTTGATTGGCTGGTCAAGCACTTAGCATGCCATATGGGGATGGGGAGAGAGTCCTGATCCCTGTGCTCACACAAAGCTCCTTCTTATTGTTCGTATGGAAGAACGGAGTGACAGGGGAGCAATGAGAAGACTAGTATAAGAAGTTGTAGGGGCCAGCATTAGTTACCCACTTGTAAACATATGTTCACTTTATTTCCTTAATAAAAGTTTCTAAGTATACTTTAGTAGGTTTAGCATTGACAAAAGGTTTGCACAGGATTTTTACCTGTATCCAGTTTGGCCTGTAGCCGGCTGAATGGTGTATCCTGACCAAGGATTCGGATCTGTCTGTGCAAAGCTTCAAGGCGAAAAGTGGTCTCTAGACACGTGAAGGCAGCACCTGATGAATACAGAACAAGGAGTTACTAAGAGTTATAACATGCATTAGTATGAAACCTGCAGCTTGTTGAGAGCTGTCCTGTCAGAATGTTCATTATACATTAGTGAAGAATTCATGAAGCAAATGGATTTTCAGACATCACTACAAATCTGGAATTTTTACTCTGAAGAACTAAAATTGTTAAGGGCAAATAAAAGTAATCATTTACATTCAACGTCACCCCATTGTAAAATAACCAAAGTAGATGACTCTTCCGGAGTGGTGAGATGAGCTTTCAAACTGGTAATACCTTAAAGGTTTTCCATATATATGAGATAGTGGTCAGATATTCCACTGAGATGAACACAATTTCAGCTGAGCGTGCATGTTTATGCTCAATACAGATGATCCAGGAAAATTACATTTCAAACACTTGATAAATTTCCCTGAGATTGGGTGACCAGAAGATTTCCATAGAAGCTGCTGTGCCTCCACAAACCTATGATAGTTGCCCACTCCAACAATATGGGTTACAATCATCTCATGTCTACTGGAAGTCTAAGATTGTGGCCCCCCACCCCAATGCTTGAGATTCTCCTATATCAGATGAAGGTATGTTACGTTGGCATGTATTTGTGACTTGTCATCTTGCACTAAGGTTCATCTCTGTGTGACTTCATCAAATTTAGTTTGGGACAAAATTGCAACAGATTTGCAAAGTTTTAAGAGATCACTAAAGATAAGACAGCTTTTACCTTAACCCCTTCGTGACTGACTGACTGACTGACTTCCGTTCATCGATCCCCTCCCCGTTCTATGGGAGCAAAATTAATTGTAGGACTTTGCACAACTTTTGTTTTAAAGCTCCTGGAATGCTTTAATCCAATTTTAACTAATCTTAACTTCAATGGCGCTTTAAATAAGTCAGTCACTTGTTTATTGAGCTTAGCCAGCTATGATTGTGCATTGCTAGGTAATATTTGTAAAGCTGTCCTTAGGAGTTTTTTTATTTTTGGTTGCGGGGCTGTGCCATATCCTTTTGTTAAGCCTTGGCTCATGTTTTCCGCATGTGGACACCAAGAATTAAATCTCAACTGTTTGCTTGCACCCACCCACAAGTCCACAACAAAGATGTAAACCTGTTAAAGGCACAAAAGCAACCAGCAACTGTTGCTTCCACAATGTAAGTAAAATTCCGGGGGAACTTGGCTTTGTAAGGCTATGGATTTTGACGGTTTCTTCTCTTGTCACATGCTATAGTATTAGCTGTTGAATAAATATACACTGTATGAAGGACATGAACAGTAAGAAAAAGGTATTTGATACCATGCTGCAATTCGCTTACCATAAACAAGAGTGGTGATACGGCGCTGGGCGTAGGTTGCCAAACCTTCACTCAACCACATTTCCTCCCAGCTGGCATTAGTGACTGCATTCCCAAACCAGCCATGTGCAATTTCATGGATGACATCAATAAGCAAGAAATCTTCACTGTCCAAGATGGAACAGATGACGAATGTCAGGCACGGGTTCTCCATGGCAACAATCGGAAAGGATGGGGGCAGGAAGACAATATCGTACCTGGAATGGAGGCAGGGAAGGGTAGTGGGCAAACGGGTACTGGGTGAGAAAGACTTTTAAGGGAATACATAAATAAAAGGGTTCTACAGGGAGTATTTCTGAAAACAAGTGAGCAGAGAATAGGGAAGAAGATGAAAAAAACGATTTTAACAGAATATACTTTAAAAAGAAATGTAAAAATATGGACTATCTGAAAACATGCTTTACTTTCCCTTTAAACACTGCTTCATTATGAAGACTAGGGATTCCCAATGATTTCAGAAGTACCGTCCAAACATACTTGGGTAAAACACAAATGTTTGAGTCCACCAAGAAGAAGTAGACGTAAGTGTAGTGCCAGGAGCTCAGCGCTAGATTTTGCCAGTGCAAATAATATCGTAATTGAAGGTTTTCAAATCTGTCCATCACTCTGACCACTTGCCCCCAATCCAGCCAATTATATAATGCCTACAGGCAACTTAATGGGCAAATACAAAAACAATGTGATTCTCCCCTATCAAATTTGTAGATGAGCCCCGAACAGGGAAATCAATTGATAGCCGACGAATCGACGATCGAAAACGTTGGTAACGTTTTCAATCGTCGATTTTAATCGACTAAATCGATTAACTGTTGCAGCTCTACAAATTTGTAAAAGTGCAGACCTCACACGGAGACAAATCTAACTTCTTACTTGCCACAACAGTTCAGTGTTTATGTGGTCCCGCATCCTCGGAGATTGTTGTCCAGATGTTAGGCTTGGACATAGAGAACAAAGGCCATCCTAGGTGAATACACCAAAGAGATAGTCATTATTGTTTACGTGTGAGCCTGGCACATGCACATCAACCTCAGAAATTGTCGGACCAGTCCTGACCAGGTCAGGCAACCTGAAGGTGGATTTGTAGGTGTGTAATGTATGCACGTTCATGTATAGATGTGAAGGAGGTGTGGAATCCCACTTTTGTTGTGAAAGTAAAGTTACTCTTAAAGCAACCTTTTCAGATGATTGTTTATTTGTTTTTAGAAACCATATTTGTTGAACTACAGTTGCATCTGATCTTACCTTCCCCAGATATAAGGTCCATACAAACTCTCTGCAGCCTGAAGCCACTGCTCTACTTGGCCAGCCAGTTTACCCACAGCCAAAGGCAGAACACAGGGTTCAGCCCACACCCGACTTCTGTTAGGAAGCAAACAGAAACTCGAATTGGTGGAAGATGGAAATAGTGGAATACTTTATGTAAATACAGCCAAGATTACATTTTTACGACAGGTACTGTTTAGCTCAGTCAAACAATAATGCTTACTAACTAAATCAACAATGCATGTTAACCACTTGCTGACCGCTGTGTTTACACCCCTTCCTGTCCAGGCCATTTTTCAGTATTCAGCACTGCGGTACTTTGACATTTATTCCGTCATACAACGCTGTACTGAAATGAATGTTATACCATTTTTTGGGGACAGATAAAGCTTTCTTGTGGTGGTATTTAATCACCACTGGGGTTTTATTTTTTACTATAAACAAAAATAAATGTACCAAATATTAACAACAAAAAATAAAAATAGTTTTCCCTTTATTATGTTAGGAAACATTTATTATTACCCAATATTTTGGTAAAATATAAAAGACGGGGTCACGTCAGGTAAATAGACACCAAACACGTGAAGCCTGAAAATTGCGCGCGCCCGCGAAATCACAAAAAACTACCATAGCCAAAATTGGTTATAGGCGACGCTTTAAAATATTTTACCGCTCATCAGTTTAGTGTCATCAGTGAATGATGGCCCTAGAATTATTGCTCTCACTGCAACGTTTGCGGCGATATGTAACATGTGCGGCGTAATTGGCGCAATCATCGTTTTTGCGTGTAGGCGCACTAACGCATTCTTGCGCATCTATGTGGGGCTGGGGGACTTTAAACATTTTTGGTGGTTTTTTTTGTGTGTGTGTAAATGTTATTCATTTTGTGAGCAATTTTTTTTTTACACCTATTATTGTTATCACATAGGGGGATATGTGATATCAAATTACAGTGACAGGTCCCCTTTATCTCTCTCTAAGACCCCTAATGTCACCTAGGGACCCCCAGAGAAGCTGATGAAGCACATATCTGCTTCATCAGCTTCTCTCCGCAGAGTGACAGGAGGAATGCAGAAGTGATGTAGTAAACATCACTTCCTGCATTCAGAGACCGGGGAGGAGAGCGGAGGGACATCGTGTACTGATCTCCCTCCGTGCACGGAGCCACACTCCCAGTCCCGGATCGGACGCCCGGGATCGCGGGGATGGCAACCACGAGAAGAGGTAAGGAGGGGGGCCCACAGAGACTTGCATCATACAAGCGATCGGGCATCTTTGCAGACGCCGGACCGCTTGAATGTAAACGGCCATCGCTGGCCGTTTAAAATTCTGGCGGTTTCCAGCTCGTGCGCATCAAGGGACGTGCGCGAGCGGGTGCGGAGACAAAGGACATCTAAAGACGCCCACTCGCATCCAGAAGACTCCCGTCCGGCCGTTTTTCCACGTTCGGCGGACGGGAGGTGGTTAAACAGTGACACAAACCATACAGTCAGCCATTTTTCATATAAACCACACAAGGGGAAAAGACACAGTAAAGTATATAAACCAAGTATCATCACAGATTAAAAAAAAAAAAACTGCAGCAAACAAAATGCATCTAATGGATGAATATACCTATATGAAATTCTATTACCTGGGGCCAATGTCTGCTGGAAGCAAATGACCTGCGGTCAGGGCCACTAAATAGGCAGGAACAGGATGTTCCATGTAGAAGTGGAAGATGCCCATTTCTTCTATGTAATAACTGTGAGTACAGCTCATAAGCACCCGAATTCCTGCTGGAGCCTAAGAGAGGTATATGTAAGAAAAAAGAATTAATATCACAAAAATGTACAAAATGTACCATTGCTCATTATCACACTTCCTTGCAGCATGCTTGGCAGGGAATAACATTTTTCCTATAGCTTGCAACCAAAATCAATTAGCAGACAGCCAATTCATTCCAAATTAAATACAAAAAAGTACAACAGAGCTACCTATTAGGAACAGTAAATATACAAATGCAGAAATATGTGTTAAGGTACAGCCCCCAGAGCTGCCAGATACATAAACAGTATCTTTATCCCCATAACATAACGACCAGTTGTAGAGATCACTGCTGTACAAGGATCCTCAACCCCCTGTTAAAATTCTATTCTTATACCTTCTCCAGTCATAGCTGGACAACCTCTCTCTTTATTACATTAACCAACACTGTTCCATGAATAGAAACCATGTCACGTCTTCAAAGTCACACTCTGATGATATTAAGTCACGCCTAAAAATATGGCAGGATTTCCAAAGTGTCAGACGTACTGTCATTTTAGGGATGTGCCACCACTCCATCCCATAAGAACTGTTAGACAATTTGATCAGCACCTCTTGCTAAAGTCCATCCTTTATTATAGTGAAAATCAAAAAAGCATTATGGCCATAGCTAATCTAGTACCGACTAGGACACAGAGTGTGCCACACATTGCAATACTGTTAAAGCCAACGTCCATATTTCAGTCCATAAGCTATGCAATGATAATGTCACAGCAAAGATTGACATTATCACTCAGGTTAAACATCCATAAATAATACATTTTTAGTGGAGCTGGGTCCTAAAATAATTCTGCTTGCTATCCTGCGGTCAGGGCCACTAAATAGGCAGGAACAGGATGTTCCATGTAGAAGTGGAAGATGCCCATTTCTTCTATGTAATAACTGTGAGTACAGCTCATAAGCACCCGAATTCCTGCTGGAGCCTAAGAGAGGTATATGTAAGAAAAAAGAATTAATATCACAAAAATGTACAAAATGTACCATTGCTCATTATCACACTTCCTTGCAGCATGCTTGGCAGGGAATAACATTAGTCTGGATTAGACTGACTGAATTTCATATTAATTTGTCCACCCATGACTTAGGACATCCCACCCATTGATGCTGATACAAGTCCGTCACTCCTACTGGTGCTGATACAAGTCCATCACCCCTGCTGGTGCTGATACAAGTCCATCACCCCTGCTGGTGCTGATACAAGTCCATCACCCCTGCTGGTGCTGATACAAGTCCATCACCCCTGCTGGTGCTGATACAAGTCCATCACCCTTACTGATACAAGTCATACAAGATACAAGTTTCTGATTGGCCAGAAAGCTGGCCCCTTGCTTTCTCATCACCTGGTGATGAGGGAGCATGGAGACAGCTTCCCGGCTAATCAGGAAGCCAGGCGCTGAGTCACTACACACTACCCGGCTTACTTAATGGGACTTCTGGTATCGGTAAGTACCACAAAAATATATATCGGTACCTGTACTCGATACTGAAAAACTGGTATTGGAGCATCCCTACTAAAAAGGAATGACATTTATCTTTTCTATTTTAAGGTTGGTTCATTCTGTACAGCCAGCCTGACAAGTGAGTGCTAACTGGACTACAGAACTGCTGCAAACAAAATGGTGATCGAATCAAAGGCTGTCTAACTTACCTTGACAGAGGCAGAGTAAGTACACTTTACAGCTGGTGTATCAAAACATGGGAAGAAGGAGCGATTGCAAACAGAGTGCCCCTGAGTAAACACAAACAACTCTGAGCTTCCATAGGAGAGTTCAGGATCCAGCCACCATACCTGAAAAACATGGGAGAAATGAACATGGTGGAAATTCATTGCAGGTTCATTGCATTTTAGGACTGCAGCAGTAAGGCCAAAACTACCAGGGTTATTCACAGAAGGGTGAAGAGTTTGGAGAAGGCCGGAGAAGTGAACAATCTAGGACAACATAGCTGAACTGGAAAGTGAGCTGAATTGGAGAATGTTTCCAGTTCAGCTATGTTGTCCTAGATTGTTTACTTCTCCTGCCTTCTCCAAACTCCTCACCCTTTTGTGAATAGCCCTAGTAGTTTTTGGTAGAAGCTGGAACTTTAAACCAACAAGTGACGTCTTCATCTCTAGAAGACTGTGGTGGTAGGAACTTGACATGTCAGATCTGCAAGAGCCATTACAAGTAGTTTCCACTTGGATTGCTGGATTTTAAACATTTAGGGCCTGTTTACACCAGCAAGCCGTGCTGATAGGTACAGTGATAATACACAGATCCCTGCTCATCGCATTATTTACTTTTCTTTTGCTAGAACTTTATTGAGATGTCACTAGTGACATTTCATTAAGTTGTATCAGTACATGCGTTTGCAACATATCGCCCCCATGCTGCAAAATCCTGAAAAAAGTGCACACCACGGGAATGCGGTGAGCAACTGTAAAACAAAGAAACATTTATTGTCTGTGTGCTGGGGCTGCACTGGACGCCTTTCCTGATTTTCTGTTTGAGCAATATGCAAATAACAGGTTTCAGAAAAGTCGCTATCTGCAAACTGTCCTTGCTAGGGGGGACTAGTGCATTTGATCAGAAGCATGCAGGAATTCTAGGGGATTACACTTTTCTTTTCAATGTGACCATGACAGGTGTGCTTTTCAAAGAAATGCTTGGTACTAACGCTAATATATAGAACAGGGGTGGGCAAACTTGGCACTCCAGCTGTTGCAAAAACACAATCCCATCATGCCTCTGTGAGTCATGCCTGTGACTGTCAGAGTTTTGCAATGTAGTTTCACAACAGCTGGAGTGCCATGGTTCCCTACCCTTGTTATAATAGAACAATAACCAATCCTGTGGCATTTAAACACTCACCGCAGGACCCTCGCCCGTGACGTAGTGTACAATGACCTGGAACGTCTCATTTGTTCGCAGGGTTTCAGGCACAGTGATGGCAAGAGCGGAGCCGTAATCCGAAAACTCTTCAACCCTAAAGTCCAACGGAAAGCAGCAGGTGGAGTGAGCGGGCACAGAGTCGCTGGCAACATGGAACTCACAAGGTTGACTAAAAGTGCAAGGCAGTGCTTCCAACGCAGGAATGTCCATTGACGAGAAAAGAGCAGGTATACTAGAAGTTGCAAAGCCGCTGTCTGGTGTAGGGGACCCCAGAGAGTCCAAGGACCAGGTGTAGCATGACGAAGATGAGTGGGAAGACAGGTCAGCAGTTGGGGAACTGGTGGATGTAAACGGCGCCAACGTAGAAACGCATGAATTGAGAGAGGTCAAGTGTTGGTGACCATTCATGGTGGGACAACCTGTACCAGCGGCTGAAACAGCAGAATTGTCCGGGCCACAAGAAAAGTCACCGGGTACAACATGTGGCAAGGAAGTAGAACTTTTTAGATGCGAGATAGACAGGTCAAGGGGTTGTGGGGTGCCTTCTGCTGTATCTGGGCTGGCTGTAGAGGATTCAGGGGTGGCATAGTATGAAGGGACAGTGGTCTGAGGGCTGGAGGGTGAATCAGAGAGCCCCAAGTCTGGTTTACACTCCTCCTGGCAGCCATGTGTAGAGTCCTCAGGGTTCCAGGACTGGTCACCTGGTGGGTCCCTGGCTGGGCAGTTTCTCTGAGCAGAGTGGTCTCTAGGTGGGCAGGACTGACTAGTCCATGGAAAAGGTCTATCAGTGTGGCTCCTGCTCGGTCTTCCCCCTCTTCTGCACCGCACAGAGCTCACCCTGACCACGGGGTGAATGTCCAGAACCAGAGCCGGCCCGCCTGGCACCAGACAGCTAAGCTCAAGTACCAAGCAACCGGACAGCTCCCGGGACTCCGGCCGGAGCTCCAGCCCCAGGTGGAAGTGATGCAGGCGGTACAGCTGGAAGCTGGAGGCCGAAGCTGGGTCAGGGGGTCCCGGCTGAAAGGGCTGCGGGGAGTCCGAGCCTGGCCCGGGGTGTAGAGAGCGGCGACAGCAGCACAGCGCCGGGCAACGGGGAGCCGACGCCATCGCCCCAGCTTCAGACACGGGACAACGGTCGGTCACACTATGTAAAATCCATCGGGGCCGCGGAAGGCCTAGACCGGGAGGAGACACAGCCAACACCGGCCGGCCCGGGACAGGAAGTGACAGAGTGGAGAGGCGAGGCTTGTCCCGGAACAGCCCACCCAGTATACAGGGGCTCCCCGGGTGTGTGACCGGGGCAGTGATTACAGGAAGGGTGTAGGCGGGTGAGTGCCAGGCTAGGATTGTTTACTTCTAGGTGACTTTACACGCCCGGAAGAGCTGTCATTGACATTACTGTAACCTGTAATACCCGGGCCACCGCTAGGTGGCAGCATCACCCATTTCCTTCAGCAGTACAAGTGCCCGTAGACAGACATCAATAGAGGTCACAGGGTGGCTGGATCACTATATTGTACACTTCCTTCCCCGATCACCCTGTGCAAAACAAGGAAACACATCAACACATCACTGACACTGGGAGTTACCAAATATGAATGGCTAGTTAAAGTAGGACTGAAGCCAAAACTTCGGTAATAACCCGTCAGCTTTTTTTTTTTTTGCCATCTATGTTCCATTGGGGAGATTTCCCTTGACTTCCTGACTGATAGCCACAACAGGAAGTGAGTGAAAATCCCTCCAGAGAGGGAAATCCCTGGTGGTAACCAGATCTATTGTCCCTAATGGAAGATTTTCCATCGATTTCAAATCGGTTGACAACACAAAATTTGGGATTTTCAGTGATAACAGTCACCAGGACAAATAGAGAGGGTGAATCTCCCTAACGGGGACACAGAGAGCAATACAAATCTGGCGGGTGTTCTAATCTCTCTCCACTCTATCCAAAACTACAAAAATGTTTTAGCTTCACTTGCACATTTGCAGCTAAGTTTATATGTTTGTTATGGGTTCCCATTCACATAGATCTAAAAAATACTTCTTATCTTTTATTGTTTCTTTATACATTAGGAATGTATCCATCAGGACTATACACAGGAATCTATAGGCAGCTTGTATTGTCACAACTACTCTGGGACAGATAACTAGGGACGCTTAGCGAAAGGCTAAAACTGGCCCTAGAATTATTGCTCTCACTCTGGCATGCGTGGCAATTCCCAACACGTGTAGCACGATTGTCGTTTTCATAGGTAGACACACCTGACGCATGTTTACATTAAGACACGTGGGGGCGGGGGACTTGTAATCTGCATCGCTCCTGGTCCCATAGTGCGGGGAGGAGTGCAGTGAACGGAGGCTCACTGATCTCCTCCCCAGCTTCCCCCCGACACAGGAGAATCTTGTCCCAGGCGCGTAGGAGGGGCGAGGGAGCCCGGGAAACACAGCAGGGCTTCCTGATTGGCCAGAAAGCCGGCTCCATGCTTTCTCGTCGCCTGGCTAAGCAGGAAGCTGGGCAAGGAGTCATTACACGCCGTCCAGCTTCCTTACTGGAACCCCCGGTATCGGTATTCGTTATCGGTACTCGATACCGGAAAACCGGTTTCAGTGCATCCCTATTTAAAATACAGGGTGCAGAGTACACTGCTGTGTACAGAGTACGGTTAGTGCACCGGAGGAGGGAAAGGAGCCTTCGGACAAAGGTATGGGAACATATAGCAAATATAAAGTATCAGGGTTATTCACAGAAAGGGGGAGAAGGGAGAAGTCAGGAGAAGTGAACAATCTGGGACAACATAACTGAACTGGAAAGGTGAGCTGAATTGGAGAATTTGTCCAAATCAGCTATGTTGTCCTAGATTGTTCACTTCTCCTGCGTCGCAGGGGGGCGGAGCCGGCGGGAAGTTCAAAAGTGAAAATAAAGAAAAAAAATCATACCGCCAGTGAAACGCGCGTTTCACTGAACGAAAAAAACGAGCTGAAAAACAAGCATAAAAAAAAAGCTCAGGTGTGAACCCAGCCTAAGTTTTATCAAAATTTGCCTGCAAAGGTGGAAATACTCTTTAAGCCATAAGTATAGGTGTGGGTGGCTGGATCTGCAAGTATGGTCTAAACCCCAAAAATAATTTTCTGAGCATTTCAGATCGCTCTGGACACTTTAATGGATAGGAGAACAGCAACAGAGAGGGTTCTGGAAGCACCAACTTATTGGTCATGGAAGTTTTTTTTTTTCATAGCTTGTTGCCCCTGGCAGTGACTGGTGGCATCCTCAGGCATTGGATCGTGTCACTAGAATTGGCTGAATAAAGCTGGATGGTCTGGGTGTTCTTTCATGTGGCTGCTTTTTGTCATCTGTGTTCATGGAGAGGTATTTTACAATGATGAGCACAGTTTGAGATTTGATATCATATCAGTTACATTTACCAAATGCATAGTGTGAAAGTAAAGGTGCTCATAGATAGAAGAGGGAGTTTGGTGTGCAGTCATGATTTAAACAACCTTTGCAAACCGGTGCAGGAAATAACAAAGAGCCCTTGTGTGGGAATTATTTTTTGCCCCCCCCCCCCCTCGCCTCCAAGAGATCAATCACTTATTCAAATTAGTATTTTCACTATTCTTCCCCTCACACTAATATCAATACATTTCATTTAACTTTCCCAGGGAAGTACTGGCAGAAATTACACGGGCACACGTCAAGGAACTAGGCGTGTCGATGGGCTTTTGTTCTTTGCCAGTACAAAGCCTATGGGGATGCAAAACCCGCTTAACCACTTGCTGACCGGGGTGTTACACCCACTTCCTGTCCAGGCCATTTTTCAGTATTCAGCGCTGAGGGACTTTGACTGACATTTATTCCTTCATGCAATGCTGTACTGATATTAATTTTATACCATTTTTTGGGGACACATAGAGCTTTCTTTTGGTGGTATTTAATCACCACTGGGCTTTTTTATTTTTTACTATATAATTTTTAAAAAAGTACCGAAAATTTAGCAAAAAAACAAACTTTTCCCTACGTTATGTTATGAAATATTTATATTTACCCAAATTTTTAGTAAAATATAAAAGATGGGGTCACTGTGGGATTAGCATAATCAGGTAGTAAGAGGGGATCATTAGAAACCATGCACACAATGCATAATAATTCTGTGAAACAGAACATATCTATCTACCTATTCTTGCCATCCTGTGTAATCTTAAAGGAGAACTATGGGGGTCACCTTTTTTGCCTATAGTTCTCTTCAGGCAGGGTCACAGGAGGACATATACTAATGTCCTCCGGTGACCCAAAACTCTGTATTGCCCGCTATAAGCTAAGAGCACAGAGCCATGCTGCAGCTGGGACATGTCCCAACAATACTGTAAAGATCCACCCCACTGGCTGATTGACGGCTGGTGCTAACTCTACCAGAGGCGGCTGTGCCCACCCCCAGTAAGTGCTGGAGAAAAGGAGAGGGGAGGGGAAGAATCCCTGCGGGGAGCAATTACTAACAGTCCCCGCTCTATGCAGGGAGAGGATTGAGAAGTCAGCGATCGTGGGGGGATGTTCGCTGACTTCCCGATCAATAGAGCCGGCCTGTGACAGCTTCCGTGAAAAAAAACAAAACACTCATTCCCATAACTCTTTTGCCCCCGGTACTCTGTTTAAACTTGTAAAGCCGACTGTCAGCTTTACAATAGAAGCGATTCTGGCGACTCAGCTGTCGCCAGATCACTTCTAGAGTCCCGTGAAGGGGACCCTGCCCGACACCCCCGCCGTGGTTCCCGGGCTCTGTTGCCCCTCTTACGGGACCGGCTTCTGTGGTGTCCGCGGGGAGGAGATGGACGTACCTCCGTTCGTTGATTCCCTCCCTGTTCTATGGGACCAATGCAGATTGCATCACTTCCGGTCCCAGAGCTGTCAGTTCCAGGCTCCTGAAGCCCAGCTATAAGCTATTGAAGTGCGATCTGCACTTCGATAGCTTATTTCTAGTGTAAAGGTGACACTTGGGGTCTTTTGGACCCCCCAGCATAACCTTAAAGAGTACCTGTCACCACCATCTGCTATCACAACAAAACAAAAGTTTTTAAAATGAAATAAAATAAATCTAAAAATAATTAACATTTATTTTAAAGTCCCTGCCCCTAGAAACACCTGTGGGGCTTTTAAAGCGTCTATGGATTTTTTGGGGTACTGAAGTTTGTCGCCATTTTACGGACGCACACAATTTTTAACCTGGGCATGTTGGGTATCTATTTACTCGGTGTAACCTCATCTTTTATATTTTATTTTAAAAATTGCTATTTTGTGTTTTGGGGCATTTAAGTACATTTTACACTAAGTTTTGGGGTTTGATAAGGAGTTGCACTAATATCGTGCAACATAAAAATTTGCAACTACCACCATTTTATTCTATAGGGTCTTGGCATTCAGAAAATATATAATGTTGGGGGGTTTTAAGTCATTTTCAGGCTTAAAATGTGGAATATAACATGGGTGCAAAAAATGAAAAAAGGGCCTCAGTCATGAAGGGGTTAAATGTTAGTTTCAAAAAGTAGTAAAAACTGTGTGGCTGATACTTGTGTGAGACATGCCACTGGGAATGGCATTGTTAATGGAAATAGCATGTGCACTTGCGTCACCACGCTCATGGACATACAAACTCATATACAGACTGTCTGCATGTGGGGTTATACATCCGTGTTCATGGGTACATTTACACATATACTGGTATATACCCTATTTCTATCAGCATCTGTAGGCAGCCTCAATTATAAGTTGTATGGCCCACAGGTGAAACCTTTTTAAGATCTGGATGAAGTGAAGAAGAAATAGAACCCCTATCGGGTCTTACTACTATCTGGCATTAGAGATTTCAACTCACTATCACACTGACAACAGTTTCACTAGATAGAATGAGGGGGAAAATCTACAACACAAGCAGCAATTAAAAGCTGCCAGGGGTCCTAGCCATCCTCTACTACAAGAGCATTTTTTATTTCTGTCCATCACACAAAGATTTTCCTTTAACTTACTGCTTGGTTAAACTATTGTACCAGGACAATAAGCGAGGGACATCTCTCCAACTATTCCACACACAGAAATGTTTTTTTTTTTAAATCACAAAGCAGGTCACAAGGGTGATATACAGTAGTCTAGTAAATGAAATATATAGGAGATCAATGGAGCTTTGCTAAATCCCTTCACTATGGTAGCTGCATGTTGTGATTTCCATAATCTCAAGAGGTCAGTATGCGCTTGTGAGAATATCCGCCCCAGTTGTACGGTCTGATGAGGGTCCAGTAGGTCAATGGAATCTTCAAAGAACCATCCTCAATCCTTCTCTGCTTCC